TATCTCTCTCTCTCCCTCCCTCTCTCCCACTCTATCTGATGATAAATGGAAAAGTATCCTTGGGTGAGGAATTAAAGAAAAATCAATAAAAAACATATCCTTGGGTGAGAACTAAAAAAAAAAAACCAAACAAAAATGTTGATTGAAGCTTGATGGATAGATATGGGATAAAATAAATACAGAATGTTCATTGCAGAAGCAGATGCTGCACACTACAACACTTCGACCTGAAGAGAATAAAGGTAGCAGGTCTCCAGGTTAGCAACTGACCTCCCAGGTAGCCTTTTAAGATGGTGTCAGTAGGGACAACTGTGTGGGAACTGGAAAACCTGGACAACTTAGCCAGCTTCTCACATACCAAACTGGGCAGGATGAGGGATGCCAAGTCTTTAGGGGATCAGAAAACAGACAGCTCAGTGGTTAAATAGTATATACAGAGGATGGGGGCGGGGTTGATCTGTGTGACTCTGAGACTCATAAGTTACTCTGGGAAGAAAGAAAGCACTGCAGATGGGGAGAAAGTTGGTGGCTCGAGTCAAGGGCAATTAAAAGAGAAGAAAACAATACATTTCTGGAATGTTGGAGTTTATAGTGGAGGTACATGCTTACAACATGATACTGAAGACCACCACTAAATTCTTTGCCCCCTGGTCTCTATCATCCAGATTTAAAATACTCCAGGGACTTTTTCTAGCTTGTCTGTTTTTCTGCAAACATAAACCCTGAGTAAGTTCATTCTGTAGAGATTCGGTCAATGCTGAAGACGGTGGAGGAGGGCTCTCTGGCTAGGTCTAGTCATGCTATTGTATTTGGGATTTGTTTGGATTTTTTCTGATTGAAGCCCAACTTCATGCCCACTATGCTTCCAGATCCATTTCTCCCACATTAAAGCAAACCTGGTTTTTCCTTCTGTTGGGTTAGGATAAATTGCCTTTGCTCACATGCATCATGTCATTAATGTATCAGTCACCGTGTATTCTATTCCTGTCTTGGAGGACACCAGCCACCTTCTCATTTAGAAACTTAGAGCTGGTCCTTGGGGGAACTCACAGCATTGTCTGGACATGAACCCTTAGTAACTGGTGTGTCTAGAACCATTCATGGCAATCACGGCCCTCAGGAGGGTCCTGCAACAGCCTTGGTGCTCTCAGTAACATTAAAGAATAGGTTGGGACGAAGAGAAAAAGGGTAAAGAAATGAAGAGGGAGAAATAAAAGGAATAAGAAAGGAGAAAAGATGAATAAGAGAAATGTGCTGTGGGCCCTGGCTGGGTAGCTCAGTTAGTTAGATCGTCATCCTGACATGCCACGGTTGGGGGTTCAATCCTGGGTCAGGACACATACAAGAATCAACCAATGAATGCATAAGTAAGTGGAATGGCAAATCAGTGTCTCTCTCTCAAATCAGTAAGTGAAAAAAGAAAGAAGTGCTGTGGCACAGCCCTGGGGGAGAGGTGGAGATGGACGATGGTTCAGGAGCCTCCTGGTGCTATTGACTTTCCGCTTCTACAGAGCACATGCCCTGGACTGCCACGTGGAAACAGAATCAGAAGCCATGCCAATGCACAAAGGTGACACTGGTCATGTCCTTTCTACACAGCATGCCAGTTTATCAAAGGAGGAATTAAATGAGCATGACTTTTTTTTTTTTTAAGAGGACTCCATGTTACCCCCATGTTCATAGCAGCACTATTTACAATAGCTAAGATCTGGAAACAGCCCAAGTGTCCATCAGTAGACAAATGGATAAAAAAGCTGTGGTACATACACACAATGGAGTACTACACAGCTGTAAGAAAGAAAGATCTCTTATCCTTTGAGATGACATGAAGGGACCTGGAGAGTATTATCCTAAGTGAAACAAGCCAAGCAGAAAAAGACAAATACCACATGATCTCACTTATATATGGAATATAATGAATATAACACTCTGAGAAATAGGGTAGACCCAGAAACAAGGAAGTAGGGTACAGACTGACAACCCTCAGAAGAAGGGGTGGGGGGGAGGGAAGAGATAAACCACAGAACTTATATGCATGTATGTATAACCAATAGACATGGACAACAAAGCTGGAGACAGGGCGCGGGGGATGGGGAGGAGAGTGTCAATGGGGTAAAAAAGGAGAAAGATCTGTAACAAAAATAAAATAAAAAAATAATAATAAATAAATGAATAAAAATTAAAAAATAAATAAAGAGGAGCCCATGTTGTTGATAGTTTGGGGCATGGTGGACAAGTTTCATTTGTTTTCATGAATGGCATTTGTGGTATAAGCCTGCACGACTGGTTATCAATCTGTCCTTGTTTCCAATTTGATGGCATCTGTTACTCTGAAGCTGTGCATATGGTTTTACAGAAGGTTCACCTGTGAATGAGTGTTATGGTCAAGGTCGTCCAAGATATTATGACATCCAGACAGAACAGGGTGGTAGAATGGAGGGCGGAGGTTGGGTTCGTCTTAGGGGGTAAATCGTGGCAAAATCTGGGAGGCATAACAGGGCCAAGTGAGGATGGGAAAAGCCCTGGTGAGGAACGGGGAACGGGAGGACACAATTCAAGACACCCATTGTCCCAATCGATCCAAGTCCGTGATTTCAAATCCTGCTTTGAGTGACTTACCTCCACTTCAAATACCAACTTTGTAAATGGTTGATACACCTAAGTTTCTTTAAAAGAAGTAATCCACTGTAGAGTTAAAAAAAAAAATTAATCCATGTTCCTAGATAATGACGAGCAAAAAAATCATCTGACAAGTTACCTGGGTCTTCTGTCTTCCATGACTGCATCAGCCCAGAAGCAAACAGCACCTGCGACCTGAACGTCAGGGAGCACAATGTGCCTGCAAAGCTATTGTGGGTCAGTGAAGCCAACACTGAACTCGATCTGGACAATCTGGGTCTGGGCTGTGGTGCTGATGCCTATCTGTGTAATTATGAGCAAACCATTTATTTGCTTTTGTCAACACTCTTCCTAATCTCCAACTCGGGGGGATATACAGAAAGGAAGGCACATGGCATTTTGTGAAAGGATGTGGTGGCTAAGTGCTGATTATCTGGCACATGTGATTATCACCTGGCTTCCTTCAGTTTTATTTTTTCCCCCTTGAAACACGTTCACAGTGCAAATTCTTTTTCAGTAACAGGAACAGTACGAGGCACACTGTGGCTGCCCGTGAACATTTCGAGCAGAGAGGAAAAGTATTGGCTTAGCTCCCAAGTCCCAGGGTCCTGGCAGCACCCAGTACTCACTCACCCCAGCCTCTCCCCACAACTTCACACCGAATTGTTGGTGCTCTGGCACATGACAGGCCCGTGAACCCTGGAGTTCTTTTGTCCACGTCACTCCCTCAAGACTCAGCTCAGGTATCATCTTCCGGCAGAAACCCCTGCTGTCGTTTCCACACCAGCTGAGCTGAGGGTCTCTCTACCACGAGCTTGCTCACCCAAAGCACAGTGCTTACATCCTTTCCCAAGGAAAGGAACATCCCGTGCTACAGTGCCTGGCCCAGGTGGCAGCTGCTCCAGGACACTGACCTGAGTAACAAGACCATACCGGTGACTATGCATTTGGGACTTGGGACTATTTGACTTCTGATCGGCTACTAACAGTTCGCATATCATCAGGAAAAAAAAAAAGATCTAGTTTTCCCTTCGCTCTGCTTTGCAGGACCATTCTGCCTAGCTGTATGCAAGCGCTGAAAGTATTCCAAGGCATTTTACCCTGTCGTTTCGACTCCAGGACAATGCTATTCGAATGTGCAAGCAGACATTTTAGTGCCAGCCTCTTAGTAACATGCCAACACCGATGCACTTTCCTTGAGGAGGGGGAGGTGGTGAGGGAGAAGCATGTAATGTTGCAGCCAATCTGCAGACCACCGGTTTCCCACCTGCAGCAGGAGCAAAAGGCGGGGGCCTTCTTGTTTCGCTCGGGAAATGCATTTATTGTCCCACACTACAGTAAGCTGGCAGGACTAGAGGACGTAGTGGTGCCCCAGTGAAGAAAAGACCAGGCCCTATGGGGTTGGCGGCAGCCGGCAGGGGGGTATAGAGACATTAAGGAAGATAGGAATCACCTCTAAAATTGTGAAGGTGACCAAAAACAGGCATATCCTCAGGCAAAGTTCCCCCACCAAGACAGCTGCCCCAGCTGTACCTCGAATCTGTCCAGCATGGGCACCAACTGTGCTGAGCCTCCACGGCACCACTGCAGGGGTGAGGGCCTCTGCGGCGTGCCTGTGACCCGCCACTGCAAATGTTTCTCCTGTGCACAGCACCCGGCGCTCGCCCCCTGGGATGACCCCTGCCCCCGCGTTCCTGCCACTGCAATCCACTTTGCAGATCCATTATTGATTCAGCATGTCCTCGGGACATTGACAGAGCAAAGCTGGAAGACGTGGGGCCCAAGATCTAAGTGCAGGGACGTCAAATGTTAAGTCCCACTCCCAGATACGGCACAGGAGAGTAGGGCGGTCAGTGAGTGTCAGCTAATAGGTAAGAAAAAAACATAAGGGAAAAGAGATCAAGCTTCCGTGGCAGCAACCGACACCTTTTCAGTTGTGTTAAGAGCACAACTGCTTGAACTACAAGTAGAATTCTATGAATTCTTAGTTGACAGAACGCTATGGCAGCATACATCAATTTTCTTTAAAAATATCCTAGGCATCCAATGAGCGAGCCTGGCTTAGTCAGGTACTAAAGCACGTTGACATTAGTCCCAGCCCGTGTTGTAGAGGCAACACTCGATCACCGATGTTTCTTTTCCAGGATTAGGAAACTGCACGGGTTGGATTCGAATGCGGGGAAGTGAGAAGAGGCGGCTACAGGACTCTGTTCCTGTTGGTGGAGAAGAGCCAGCAGACACAGGCCACAACCACAGGCAAAAGGTTAGTGAAACTTGTTATTACATTTAATTTTCTTTAAATACATACCTTTTCCCACCCCACCCATTCTGGGGAGGAACGGAAACCCCCACCCCCTCCATTCCATGTACAGATCCTGAGATGGTGAGGACGGAGTATAAAAATACTATCTACAGGGGGAAGAGGCATCTGTTGCTCTCTTAGCCTTCAGACACCCCACCCCCAGGCCCCTTTTGCTCCTTTAGAAAAAGCCCCTGGAAATCCATGGGAGGTCACGAGCCCTTCCTGTGGAGGCGCGGACTCTGGTGTGGAATAGTTAGCTCTGAGGCGGACCGCGGAAGAGAGGGTATGGCTAGCACCTCAGACCCAGCAGAGGGGGATGACCCTCCATCACCCTGCAGCCAGCAGGCTGGCCAGCCAGCCTTTGTTTCCATAGGTCCCATGTAAACATTGACGTTGCTTCTGTGCGTCCCTGCTCTTCCTAATTTCCCACAGAGCCGACCTCACTTCTGCTGCAGGCACTTGATTCCTGGGTCTTTTCTTCCTTCCTTCCCTTCTAACCTTCCCCGGAAGGAGTGAGGAGTGGGGATCGGGGAGTGGGGGTCGGGGAGAAGGAACAGCCCATTTCATCCCTTCTCCTAGGGTGCTGTGGGTCAGTCAGTCTCTATCTCTACTGGGTGCTCCAAGTTCCTGGCCAGATGGGGCGATTTCATTCCCCAGAGCAACACAGCAGGTAAATCATCCGGTACCAGGAGACACTGGTCCTCGTGGGCGATGCTTTCAGTATCGAGTAGCAGGGAAGAAGACTTCAGGAGACAGGAGGTGGGGCAAGTCTGGTCTCACCCTTCAGGTCAGCATGGCCATTCCCAGCCGACAGCCTTGTTCACTGCAGCTGTGCAGGCACCAGGCACCCATGAGGAAGAGGTGTTCTCCAGGCCTTGACGGAGAGGCAGCGCTCACACCAGCTCATCCAATAGGATCCCGATGCTCTGAGCGGCCTCGGAGGGCCCCGCGATGGGCTTGTTGCACATAGGACAGACGCAGCGCACCTCCAGCCACTTCACCAGACACCTGCGGGCGAGAGAAGACCTGCGGTACCCCGACCCACTCTGCTGTCTGTCGTCCGGACAGCTTCTTCTTAGGCCCAGACCATCCCTACCCTTGCCCCAATCTATGCCTCCAGTCCAGACAGGATGCAGGACATCGCTGACAAGTGGAAGATGCGAGGAGGTAGAGACTGAGGTTCTAGAAGATGCTTCCTGCTTGTTCTTTTTTTTTATCCTCACCTGAGGACATTTTTCCATTTTTTTGTTCAGATAGAGTGGGAGGGAGAGAGAGAAACATCAACGTGAAAGGGACACATCGAGTGGCTGCCACCCGCATGACCAACCAGGGCAGGGGACAAACTGCAACCGAGGTACGTGCCCCTAGTGGGAACCGAACCCGGGTCTCTCTGGACCACAGGCCGATGCTCTAACCGCTGAGCCAAACCGGCCCGGGCCTGCTTGTTCTTTTTTAAAAGGCCCCCCTGGACACACACCCCCACTGCGGACTTACTTCCGATGGAAAGCATGTTGGCATGGGAGCACACCCAACTCGTCCTTCCCCTTGAAGTCCTCCAGACAGACTGCACAGGTCTGCTGTGGAGAGAAGGCGGCAGTGTGAGGAGAGACGGGGCAGGGACCCCACCCACCCGTCCTGAGCACCATCTCCACCCCAGCTAAGAAAACCAGGTTCTAGCCCGGTTTCCTCATCACCCAGAGAAACGTTAGTCATATGTTATAAAATTGCGACAGTATGGTAGCCATTAACCACATGTGACTATTTAAATTGAGATGAACCAAATAAGATGAAATTAAAATTTCAGTGCCTTGGTAGCACTGGCCACATTTCATGTGCTCAATGGCCACAGAGTGTCTAGAGCTCCCATTTGGACAGTGTGGACACAGAACTTGTCTCTAACCACAGGTTTCTTGTGGTTGGTTCTGTTCCAAACAAAAGAATGGTTCTCTGTGCTTGCGAGCCTAGCACACTTGGCAAGGGGACATGTTTCAGTAACCGGAAATGGGGGTGAGGGTATGGCGTAGGTGGTCCATTACGTTCTTTCATTCCAGCCTCATGTCCATATATATTAACCCCCCAATCTCCACTGCATTTCCCTTCTAGAGGAGGGCTTAGAAAACATTTGAATTTGCTGAGATGTAATAAGGTATCAAAAACTGGGACAAAATGTGGCCATTTCTAGGTGGTCTTGTCGAGTGAGACCTGTGATGCTCCCTACTTCAGACAACCACAACCACAACCACGCCCACGCCCACGCCCACGACCACAACCACGACCACGACCATAACCACAGTGTAGAGGAGGGTCTGTAGTTAGCAGGGAAGCCTCGGGCTATGAGTGAGGTGACCTCAAAGGCACAGGTGGGAAAGGAAGAGGGATGGCCTATTCCTAAAGGTTCAGTGTGGAGGGGAACCCAAGGATGTGTGGGGGTGGGAGGCTGATGGGGGGCCAGCGAGGAACCACAGGCATGGACACACTAGTCAGACGCAGGGTCCGCTAGAACAGAGTGTACATACAAGGGTCAAAGGACCTTCTTTGCTTTGGTGAAAAACCAAGACGTGGGGTCTGAACATGGGACAGTGAGCTGCAGTCTGTCATGAAGTGCTGTGATCATCCTCTCCTCGAAGGTCGTGCCTGGCAGGCTTCCTGGGGTGGCGTGTCACCACTTACCCAGACCCTTTCGTGATCCCTTTGTTTTCTGCCTGCGGCGGTTCCGACATAATGAATTCCTTATACCGATTACATGCTGGGATGAGTGACTCTTATTTGGCTCAAGGAGATAGGAAGGCAGGGGTTAGAAAGGTCCCTCAGCCTGGCCGGTGTGGCTCAGTGGACTGAGCGTCTTCCCATGGACTGAGAGGTCCTGGTTCGCTTCCTGGTCAGGGCACATGCCTGGGTTGCGAGCTTGATCCCCTAGTGGGGGGTGTGCAGAAGGCAGCCAATCCATGTATTTCTCTCACATGGATGTTTCTATCTCTCTCTCCCTTCCTGTCTTAAAAAAAAAAAGTCCCTGAAATGGTCCAGGCTGAAAGTTGGAGAAGGTGCTATTTCCTTTACCCACAGAGGCCCTCCCACATGCTGTCACAGTGCACTCACCCCATATAATTGTAACTTCTTGGCATCACCTTTAAGCACCACCTGTGAAGAAAGGAGGCGGCATGGTGTCAGAAGAAACCGACCACAGGGGCGGTGGTGTCAACCAGCGAAGGAAGTCCCCAGCTCTGCACAGGCTCACCTCCCTCCCCCACCCTCCCACGAAGGGGAGGGCTCGGCGTACTGCCCGGGCCAACCAGGCCAAGGACAGCGAAAGGTGTTCACCCCAGAGAGGACCAGAGGGGAGGCTGAGGGGAACTCCAGGCAAGGACAGCTCAAGCTTTTCTTCCGTCTCTAGAGGACAAGGAGCAGAGGAGAAAGTCTCGGGAAAGATGCGGTACTTTACCTCCTTATACCCGTATCTCTCACTCTGTGCCTGGTTCCGCAGTTTGCTGGGGGGAAAAGGAAGGGGAGAGAAGTGGTCACTATGCCTTGGCACAAGCAGAGCCATTCAAAGTAGGAGAGGCAGGTCGGCTGCCTGGCACTCCTCTGGGGGAGGGGAGGGGTGCTCTCCACGGGGTGGCCCACCCTACAGATGCCATAGGGTATGGTTTGGTCCTGTGCAGGTCACGCAGAGTGAATTAAGGACTCAGGCTCAACAGCCTCAACATGTCCTGCAGGTCCTGCAGATTGGGGAGTTCCCGAAGAAGCCATTCACTCTCCCTGCCATTTCGCAGGAGGTAAATTCCTACAAGCTCCCAAACTATAGAGATCAATAATGACTGAGCGTACAGAGAAGTTAGATATTCTTAACAGGGCTATTTCCATTAAGCGAGGGTAGCAGGATAAATGAGTCTGTTGACCCTGGGGAATTTCCCACCCGGAGAACACAAGCACCGCACTCAGAGCACACTCTTCCCTCACGGGGCCGGGAAAACACAGGCGAGCCCTTCTTTGTTTTCTGCTCTTTCTTTCAAGCTGGTGGCCTGCACGAAGCCTCCCTCAATAGCCAGAAGCTGGCATGTTGTGACTAGAGGCAGTGGCATGATGCTCAGAGGACTTCTGTGCAGCGGTCCATGCACTAACACACTCACACACATGCTCATCGGCTCCAAACAACTAGGAGACACTCTCCTTTTCACAGACGAGGAAAGAATGGAACCCAGAGAAGTAAGTGGCCCAAACTCCAGAGCCCACTGGCAGCCGTGTCCGGATTGGAATCAAAGTCTATCTGATTATAGAGCTCGAGCTCTTTAATACAAAACGTGGCCTGTTTCACCAATCAGGTGAATACGCCGTATCCAGGGGCCCTGGCCAGGCCAGCTCGGCCTGGAGCCGCTTAGGAACTCCAGTCCCAGTGACTCCTGCCACGGGGCTGAGGGCAGGGGCAGCACATCACTGGTCAGCCATGGAGGGTTTCTGCTCAGTGGGGGTTGGGCTAAAGTCTCATCCTTCACTTTGCACTTCCATGTATCCACACACATCTCTGTCCCCACGTCCAAGTGAGGGGGGCAGGGAAGGATGCATCCAAAGCTTCCGTGAACTGTTAGCTGACTGACACTGGGTTATGCTGGGGAAGGAAGAAATGTTCAGTCAGTGTGCTTATTACAGCCACCTTCTGAGACAGACACTGTCGTTCTCGCCAGGCTTGTGCAGAGCAAACAAGGAAGTGGCGAAAACCCTGCTGCTTAGCCCGAGAACGGGGATGCCGCACATCCTGCGCGCCTGCACTGCACACGGCCATTCTCATGTAGTGTGAGCCGTACCGAGGATGCCCGGGGTGCCCTCCTCCCCTGCCCTCACGCCTTCTGTCTCCTGGCTCCTTCTAACGGTCTTATCCAAGGAAACTCCGGCAGCCTAACTCGCAAAGCCCAGGATGCTCAGAACACTGGAGGGCTTGAGACCGCACCTTCAGCCAGCCTGTGGATGGATGCCTCAGGAAGGTACAGGCTGTGATGAACTGGGGCCAACAAGTTGCAAGGGAAACAAAGCAAAAAACAAAGATGCTGGGCCATCCCAGCAGGGGATGTAGTGCCAACAACTTCGGACAGGTGGCCTTTTCAGCTGTTGGGTGAGCAAATTAGCTAAAAATACTCTGATTTCAATGACACCATTTCCAGCCACTGCCAGTGGGCTCTCCCTCTGCTTCTTTTCCCTTTTGGAACAAACAATGCAGCCAGGTCCTGCAAATAATTGTTCCTTTCCTGCCTATTTGTACTTCACCGGCCACTCCATCCTGTGTGGGACAGAGACCACCCCTTTGGGGGGTGGGAGAGAATGAGTGGGGGGAGCTAGGAGTCGAGGCTGGTCTTGGCCAATGAGCTCACCAGGCCACAAGCAGGGGTCATGGCCTATTTTGGCTGAGAAGGAAACCAAGAAGCAGGGAGAGGAAGTGGCTTCTGTGCTTGTGTCTTTCTATATATAGACACCCGCAGGCTGCCACACACACACACTAGTGAGCCTCTGGAACCATGAAACTGCAGGGTCGACCGGCTCTGGACAGGCTGCAGAACAGAGAGTGCGGCGGTGAAGGAACCGGTTACTGCAGAAGGGACAGGTGGTGCCGAGAGCCCTGCCGTGGGGAAAGCTTTCGACATCATGTGGTTCTGCTGCTCTGTTCTCTCAGTGCAGCCAAATAAAAACGAATCAGCCATGCGCAGCTCCCAGCCTCCCCTTCTGCAAGAACCCAGACTCTAGCCGTAAGGGGGGGGCACAGATGCCACTGCTGCCCCTGCACTTCCTGTCCACGAAATAAAAATAAGAGACAAACATATGGAATCTGGCAGACTCTAGTTAATTGTCACCAGACCAGCCCAGCTCTATACATTCCGCGCTACATGGCCTTGGACAAATCCTTAACAGCCTGATCCTGAACTCTCCCATTTATAAAGTGGGCTAATACCTAAACCGGAGGGATGTTCTGAGGCCTACGTGAGCTAAATATTTCACAAAGTGCTCACCACGATGCCTGCTATACAGGTGGTGCTTGGTAAAGAATAGCCAAAAAGCTAAGGACATCCTATTAGTGACAGAATTAGGAAATGAACCCTGGCCACCCACTTACTGAGTGATTTTCTGGGATTTCTTCACTTGACCACATTTGCAGCTTGGCATGGGTGAGCGTGCGTGTGCGTGTGCGTGTGCGTGTGCAGGGACCAAGCAGAGTTAGCTTTACAGACTCCTTCCAGTGTCCTACACAAATCTTTGCTATGTGGAATGTCTCCATCTGCAGCCTCTGGGGAACTGCATAAGTTGTTTGATAAGAGGAGATGGGGTGGCTGGTGTCAGGAAGACGGAGTACGAGGAACACAGCTCAGGCTCGGAGCGGTGAGGGAGTGGGGAAGATACCAGAATCTACTCTCGTCGCCACTTAGTGAGATATAAATTTTACACTCCACTGCACAAGAGGGCAAAAATAAATGTATTTACGGAAGATAGAGGCTTAAGTGGAAAATTCTAGTGCCGGGGACTTTTTGAAGTTCTGCGAAAGAAGCGAGCGCTGGGGAGCAGGGCCTGCGGGCACTTCCTCTCCGTAGAGCGAGCTCTCCCAGCACTGAGAACGGAACACGTGCTTCTCCAGCCTTCTTCCCGGGAAGGACGCACCCACCGGGACACCTCTGTAGGGAACCAGACTCCTTTTCCTTCATCTTCATTTAATCTTCTCAGATGCTTTGCTCGGACACTAGCCTAGACTCCGGCTGATGCCTCCTCGAGCAGTAGATATCATGGGGGGTTATCACAATGGCTCTAAGAACCACTAGCATGTTCGGCTGGTCAGAGGTGCTCAACACTCTCCAGTACACAACGAAGAATTATTAATACCAAAGGTGTGCTCTTGTCAGAAACGACTTTAATTTCCAGTCTAAATTCTGGTTATGTCCCAAAGTTTTGGTAGGAAACTGCCACCTGTTCCCATGCCTTATCAACAGGAGAAGAAACAATTCCTGGTGAAGCTACAGCCCTCCCCTGGATCCCTATGGAAAGTGAGGTTCTTAGTTTTTTTTTTTTTTCCACTCTCAAAATAAGAGCTTCCAAGGCAGAACAAACAAGCGGCTCTGCAGACATCAGCCTGCTAATATTAGCATCTGGGGGGCTGACAACAGGATTTCCCAGGGGGGCAGAAGTACATACCATTGGTGTCACTCATGCCTACTTACCCCTGGCTACCCAGAGAGGGTGAGTGGGGAACAGAGAGACAGCGAGAGGATCGTCAGTGACATCATTTGGTCAGACAGTAATTATAAGTAACCTTAGCATAACTGGCCAAGAGGCAGGATGCAGCCCAACCCACGGTGACCTTATACGCGCTGGGACAAGTTGATAGGCTGGTGTAAATAGAAACATCAGGCCTCTGGGGCTCTGTGGAGCCCTGGCTAAGCTCTGTCTTTACAGCAGGGGCACTAGCTAGAGGCCGGTGACCGCTGTGGGAGCCTCTGTCGGCTCACCTACCCCGGGCCGCCTCGTCCCTGACCCCCATTCCAGATTACCCAGTGAGCCACCCACCTGATGAAATAACAGCAGAAGATGAGGCTGAGCATGAAGACAAAGATGCCTGTACCAAAGATGACCATGTAGATGTTGAGAGGAAGGTCTTGGAAACTGATGGGTGGCATTGAGCAGGACTTGTTAGTACTAACCAGTCCCAGGCCGCAGAAACACCCTGCAGAGAAAGCGGGAGGAAAAATCACGTTATAGTTGGAAATGTATCTCTGGGGCTGATGATTCTCTGTGTCAGCAAAGATGGAGAGAGGACTGGCAGGCTCTGGGCTCCTAACCGTCTGATTCAGGGGCTTCCGTTTGTATCCTGGCCCTAATACTTACTAGCGATGTGATCCCAGGTAAATGAACTATCTATGAAATGGACTATACACACAGTACTTAAAACAGCACCCCCACCTAGGGGACCAAGTCTTCAGGCACCGGGCAGAAAATGGAAATACTTCCATCAGTGAGAGCCATACGGTGCAGTAATGAAGAACCTTAGGTGAGGAAAAAGTATATTTGGGTTCCAACTCCATCTCTCCCTAGCTATGTGACCTTTACAAAGTTACTTCTCTAAGCTTCACTCTGTTATGTGAAAACAAGGAAAACACGGAGAGGACCAATATTAAGAAAGATGCTTTGTGAATTGCAAAGTGCAATTGCAAAGGTCATTTGTCGTTATTAAGCCACCTGCTGCAGGAGACAAGCTGCAATAGGACCAGAATAGAAATTATTCATTCCAAGGCTGGGCCAGCGTTCCAGAAAGTGGGGGCGGGGGCGCTGCAGTTACTTTTACTGGCCACTGTCCCCCTTTCTACTCAAAGCCTCACTGTGCAGTCTCATAGCAACAATGACATTCCCTGGAGCTTGTGTGAAATGCAGAATACCAGGCCGACCCCAGAAGAAATGAACCGGAATCTACATATCGCAAGGTCTTCAGCAGATTCTCATGCAGTCAGCGTGGGAAGCACTGGCTGGCCACGAGATGCACCCCCTTCTCACATGACTTTAGGGGTAACCCTGGTTGGTCTACCAACCGGGGTAGTCACCTTCCCCTTGCCAGGGTGTTGTGTTGAGGAAGGTGTGTGACAGGGTTCTGGCCAATGAAACAAAGAGAACGTCTGCTGGAAAAGGAAAGCCATTTCCCTTTTTGTCATGTCTGCTCAAAACACTTGTAATGGTGGCGGGCAAGTTGTAGCTGGAAAGAGAGCAGTTCAATGTAAAGCCCGTGGCAGAGGCAACAGGGAAAGAGGAAGAGAGATTTTATCAGCTGAGTTGCTAGAATAGCCACTTCTAGAGCCATGCTCTCTCTCGGGACTACTGGTTCTGATCGTTAGTAAATCTTCTGTAATGTTTAACCATAAAGAAAAAAAAACACAGAGAGGATATAAGCAATAAGCTGGTTGAGTGTTTCTTCATGCCTGTAGGCATAAACACCATAGTGATCCAAAAGGTAAGCATAAAATTCCTGTTTCAGAAAGTGGTAAGACCAGAAAACAAAAATTTACCATATACCTGCGATACCACATCCTCATGTGACCAGTTTAATCTTAAAACACTCAATCATTAAACTGTCTGTGTCCCACAGTTAACAAGGCCGGGCTCCAAAGGCCTCCATACCCAAGCCCTCAACAAAGGCCTCCATACCCAAGCCCTCAACATGGCTTTTAAGAACTTTCCTGACATCTTGCTAGGAGCCAGAACCCATTCATATATACTTCAGAATTCTACATTATAATTACCAGTGCTACCACAATTCAGAAGTCTGGCTTGAAAGACAAAGTCATCTTGGACATTGTACTTCTCATACCTCTTCCTCGTCTAAATTAATTTAGTGACTATTTAATGAGCCTCCTCCAAACCTCTTTCATATTTTGTGCCCTGTCCTATTGCCAAGTCCCTATTCTAAACAGATTTTAGACCCAGTTCTATTCCAAGTCCTTATTCCAGACGCCTAATGGATGTCTAGTCCCTCCTCTCATTTAGCCCACATGTCTGTCATCTCCTCCTACTCAGTTTCTATCATGTATTTCCCAGACTCATGACTGGCTTCAAGTCCTTCTAAACTTGTGTGCACTGGGTCCCCTCTCAACCTCCCTGCCAATGTCTTCCACCCCATGTGGGCCAGTCTCCTCACTACTGCTCGCCCAACTTTGTACTCGCTGCTTCCACACCTTTGTCCACAGCTTTCCCTGCCCGAAACTCCCTTCCTTCCTCAAGTCCACCAAGCCTTGTCTTTGTGATGGTCCAGTGACCCCTCTCTCCCTAGAATTCTATGTGCTCACAGCTCTATCCCATGTTCTGGCTCTTAATGCTTAGTAAATGTCTTACATTGCCCAGTGCTCCTAGCATCGACTTAACTCAAACATACATTAAGTATTGATTATGTGACAAGTACCATGATAGACACTGAAGATAAAATCAAGGAAGAATGACTAGATGGTTTTACCTTCTAGGGAAGACAGACACACAGATTTTTCACCACTCAAAGTGAAGTACCACCCTGGCCAGTATGGCTCAATGGGTAGAGCGTGGGCGCCACACACCGAAGGGTCTCGGGTTCAATTTCCAGTCAAGGGTTGCCAAGTACCTGGGTTGCAGGTTCAATCCCCATCGGGGCATGTGCAGGAGGTAACCAATCGATGTGTCTCACATCGATATTTCTTTCTGTCCCCCTCCCCCTCCCTCCCTCCTACTCTCTCTAAAAAGCAATGGACTAACAGCAACAACAAAGTGAAGCACCATACTGGAGATGCAACTGTGATCCTAAAATCAGAGATGAGAGTCCTAACAGCCTGAATGCCCCAAGGTCTGAGGAGTGCAATTTGGATACTCTCCAGTGCCTAGCCTAGTGTTTGACTTGTTCTCAAAAACTAGTTAACAGATAAATAACTCCCAGTCCCCCCCACCCCCCAAACCTGGTACCCCTCGCAGAAGCTCATCCTCCCAAGTAAGTAGATTGATGTTTGGGAAAATTGCCTAGAAACTGTCCACAGCTAATGGATGACCAGTCAACCAACGAGCATTGTTGAAGGCCTGATTTATGCACTGACCTCCACATTGTGGGGGAAACCAACAGTAAAAGTAATTCTAGTCCTGAAAGTTTTTTTTTTTTTTTTTTGATTAAGCTGAAAACAAATAATTAGCTACTAAACTCTGCCATGCCCAACTGGAAGCCCTTGCTTCTAGGCTCCAGCAGACTTTTTTGAAGATATCATGGTGAACTCCGTGTGTTCTACAAAGGGCTGTAGGACTTCCCTTCCCGAAAACTGTCCTTAATGCCAATGAGGCCTCTGCCCCAACAGGAGCGACTCCACACACCTTGCCCCCAGCACTATTTAACGCTCTAAGAGGGTCTAATCCCTAGTCTGCCTTAACTCTCCACACATTTTTTATGAGCTGGATCTGGGTATCTTTAGAGTCCCAACGAACCTCATTTGGTTTCCCATTCTGGGATCCTGCAGCGGGGCAACAGCTATTGCAGAGGGTCTGGGGGTGACTCTGCATGCACTTGGGCCTCAGCAGTCCTCTCACCAGTTTATCTTGTCTGATAACCCAGGACTGAGTCACTGAGTTTAGCACTCTTACGTAATAGATGTGTAGGTGAGAAGAGCTTCAGAGCCAAGAAACAATCCATTTGCTTGTATTACAATGACTAAGAAATGGAAGATATGGTGGAATAGTTTTTCCTCTAAAAGTCGGAAGGACGGAATACCAACCCCAGAAAAAAAGGGGCTCCAGATATTTTTCACAAATGGGTGGCGAGAGGGATTGCTTCTGCACTGGAGTCAAAGAACAAGATATCTCTCATCACTTTAAGTGAATGGAGATAGTGGCATGTCCTCCGCTGGTCTAAGAACCAGCCTCTTATGAAGGAGGGTTGCCCAGAAGAAAGGCCAGTGGGACTGACAACCCCGGGTTCTTCTCCTTAAGTCTCTGTTTCGTTGTGTCAGCTGACCTATGAAAGCCCTGACATCAGAACGTTTCAGCTTCAGCAGGCTGGGAGCGGGAATGACATCAAGAGAAGGGTTGGCCAAGAAAGACCAGTGAATCTGGGAAACACTTCTCCTTCCAGCCAACAGGAATCTTTCCCAGATGCTAGGATGCACTGTTCTTCCTTACCCCCAACTTCCGCCCCTTCTCCTCCAATGCCCGCCCACCACAGAGCTTGATTCATTTTCAGGAAATTAGATACTACTAGCAAGAGGAAGAGGGGGATGGGGGACACTCTTACACATGCTGCCCAAACCTCGCCTTAAAACAAAAGCCTCTTGAAATAATTAATCCAAGATCTGGCAGGAGTCTGCTCTCGGAATGAATGTTTCCTAACTAACCAGCTTGTCACACTCAGAGATAAGACAAGCTGTTTCTCCACCCCAACTCCACAGGCGTTAGAACCATGCGGTCAAGATCCTAGGACCATGGGAGAGTATTAGCATCCAAGGTTTTGAACTGACCACTCACAAAGGCTGTCAGTTCAGGTAGCTTGGGTGAGGAATCAGACCCAAGCCCAATCTGTTATCACCTGAACAACAACAAAAAAAGCCTCAGGTGAGATAAATTGAGCATCACCCAGGCCCAGGGATGGAGAGGTTGGCCAGTGAATGGAGTGGTAGGGGTGGATGGGTCTGGAGGTGCGGCTCCACCATTGAGGCTCGAGAGCTAGCACCACAGTCGGGCCTTGGGACCAGAGAGCCCAGTTCCCGCCAGCCAGGCAAGCCTACACCCAAGCGGAGCCGAGCTCTGAGATATCTGCAAAGCTTTGTCAATTCAATAAAGCCATGCTCTTTAATCCGCGTCTTCCACAGGCACAAAGCCCCACAGCAGCCAGTGCGAAGCCAACAAAGACAGAGGAAGCCACCGCGGCCCGTCCCGCACGCAGCATTGTATGCATATTTAAAATAGCCTGCAAAGTTTCAGGCCGGGAACTTGAGCTCCCTCTAGGAGATCCTAGCCCGAGCGCGGATTTAATTCTCCTCCAACAACCACAACAAAGAACAGAGTTTGAGCGCACAAAGGCAAGGCAAGGGGTAGAAGAGAGAAGCCACCACACAAAGGCCGGGACCCCTCGGTTCCCATACCCTCGCGACCGATGCACGATCAGGGACTCTTCCCGGCCCTCGAGGTAAACCTGGGCTTTTGTTTGTTTGCTTGTTTGTTTGTTTTTCAAATTCCGCGCTGTGCAGAACAGAGTTGGGCTCCAGGACGCCTTCCCGCCCGCCCCATTCCAAGAGAAACTTGGCTCGAGAGGGAGAACGAGCCTCTGCCTGCTCCCGAGCGTGCGCCCCCTCCTCGTCTCCGGGGAGCCCAGGGCCCGGCCGCTCGCCCCGGGACTCACCGTTACACCACTGGAATGGGTGCATCAATGAATTTGCGGCTGGCTTCCCACGGCGGACGAACGCAGGCGGAGAGGCAGGCGGGGTGCGCGCCCGGCTGGCCGGGTCGCAGGTGGAGCCGGTGCGGTCCGCGGCAGCCGCCTTTCTCCAGGAGGCCAACTCCCTCCGGAGTGAGGGGCTTCGGCGAGGCGGGTTTTAGAGCAACAAAGAGGAAAGAGGAGAAAACAAACAGAAAGTCCTCCGGGTCAAAGCACCGCCGAGGAAATGCAGGAAGAGCACCGGGGGTGGGGAGAAGTGGGGCGCCGCCGAGCAGAGTGGGGGGGGAACCCAAGGGGCAGAAGCTCTGGCCCGCGGAGGAGGGAAAAGCCTTAGCGGGAGCCCGCTCAGGTCGCACCACCAGAAGTACAGCAGCCAGAGACTCCGAGACTGACACAGGTTGTGCACACCCCCTCCCTTATATGCTCCCGGGAAGCTCCGTCACCCGCCCTCCGGCCAATGGGAGTCTTCCTCTTGGCCCTGGGTATTCTGTGCAGGCCCGCCCCCTCCTGGGGCGGAGCGTCTTTGCAAGGTAGGGCGCCTACCCTCTACCTTCCCAGTCCTGGGAAAACTTCAGTCTAAAGCGGCGCGTGCTCCGCGTTGAGTTGGCCCTCAGCTGGGGAACCAGGCTCCTCCGCCAGGGACCAGGAAGAAACTGAACAGTTAGTGTCACATTGTTTTTCGCCTCCAGACCTATAAAGGTTTCTATAGCTCTTTGAGAAACCAGTTCTAAGGAGTGGTTATATTTCTGCTCCGTGGGCCAGGATTTGGTCCTGAGTGGCGGCTAGCGCGTCCCTTTGTTCACTGTAAAAGGGGGAACTGAAGCAAGGAGGTAAAGGTGAGTTACAAAAGGGAGATCTGGAAAGAACTTTAGTTGTCATCTCATTTTTGGCCAGTCCCTCACTTGATGAAGGAATTAAGGCTTGAAGCTTAAGTTTAGTGTTGTCCATGTAAGAAACATCCAAACCTGTAGATAATTTTTTTGAGTTTACTTGAGCCAAAACTGACGACAGTTGCCAGGAAGCAAGATCTAAAATGCTCCAAAGAAATCCAGTTTTCCCATTTTATCTGTACATTTGAAATTAGGAAAAAAAAAATGTAAGAAACATTATATGGAGATGGGAGAAAGCAAGGTGGGGATTGGGTTACAGGTAGTTATACCTTGGAAGGATGGGCCTGAAAGTGTGGTCCACACATCAGAAGGAGGGATCTGAAAATAAGCATTTCAAGGGAATAAGCATTCCCTTTGTTAACCTAAATGCACAGAAACAATGGACAGAGCTTTCTTAAAGCAAAGATAAACCTTTTACAAAAAAGTTGTATACCTAGGGCTTGACTACCCACCATGACCTGCCAAGTTAGGAATTTATGATTTATAACAGCAGCCTTTTTCATCCACAATGTAGACTTGTCAGGGCTCCATGATCCTGAATAACAGGATCAAACGTAGGAATCTACATTGGCAATGCATTTAGGGTAGTATCTTGAGCATGTAGCACGCTGAAGATGTTGAATGAGTAGTACTTGGAAAAAAGACTGAATCTCTTAATTCCCTGTTCAAAAAACCTTTACATAAAACTTATCTTTATTGTTGAATGTATTACAGATGTCCCCCTTTCCCCCCCATTGACTCCCTCCTTCCCAATCCTGCCCCTCTCCTGCCTTCCCCACCCTATTGTTTGTGTCCATTGGTTATGCATATATGCATAGAAGTTCTTTAGTTTGTCTCTTCCTGCCCTCCATCCCTCCTTCCCTTTGAGGTTCATCAGTCTAACAACCAATTTGTACTTCTTAATTCTTTCATCTTTTTCACCCATCCCCCCAGCCCCATCCATCTGGCAAGCAACAGAAAGTTCTCTGTATTTATGAGTCTGTTTCTGTTCTGCTGGCTCATTTTGTTTGTAGATTCAATTGTTGATAGATATGTATTAATTGCCACTTTATTGTTCATATTTTGTTCTCCTTCAAGAAGACCCTTCAACATTTCATATAATACTGATTTGGTGGTGATGAACTCCTTTAGCTTTTTCTTGTCTGGGAAACTCTTAATATGCCCATCGATTCTAAATGATAACTTTGCAGGATAGAGTAGTTTGGTTGTAGGTCATTGCTTTTCATCACTTTGAATATCTCTTGCCACTAATTTCTGGCCTGCAAAGTTTCTTTTGAGAAATCAGCTGACAGTCTTATAGGAGCTCCTTTGTAGGTAACTAACTGCTTTTCTCTTGCTGCTTTTAAGAGTCTCTCTTTCTCTTTAACCTTTGGCATTTTGATGATGATGTGTCTTGGTGTGGACCTCTTTGGGACTCTCTGTGCTTCCTGGACTTGTATGTCTGTTTCCTTCACCAAGTTAGGGAAGATTTCTGTCATTATTTTTTTCAAATAGGTTTTCAATTTCTTGCTCTCTCTCTCTTCCTCCTGGCACCCCCATGATGTGAATGTTGGCATGCCTGAAGTTGTCCTGGTGGCTCCTTACACGATCCTCATTTTTTTGGATTCTTTTCTCATTTTGCTGTTTTGATTGGGTATATTTTGCTTCTTTATATTCCAATTCAGTGGTTTGCCTCTTGGCTTCACCTACTCTACTATTGATGCCCTGTAAATTATTCTTTATTTCAGTTATTACATCCTTCATTTCTGACTAGTTCTTTTTTATGTTGTTGATGTTCTCATTAAGTTCTTTGGCGGTCTCCTTAAGTTCCTTGAAGGTCTCACTAAGTTCCTTGAGCATCCTTATAGCCAGTGTTTTGAACCCTGCATCTGATTGATTGCTCGTCTCCATTTTGTTTAGTTCTTTTCCTGGAATTTTGTTCTGTTCTTTCACTTGGGACATGTTTCTTTGTCTCCTCATTTTGGCTGCTTCCCTGTATTTGTTTCTGTATATTAGGTAGAGTTGCTATGTCTCCTAGGCTTCGTAGGGTGGCCTATTGTTTTAGGTGTCCCTGATCACCCCAGCTGAGTCCTTGAGGTGCACCCCTAGTGTGGACTGCACACCCTTCTGTTGTAATTGAGTCTTGATTGCCATTGGCATGTCAATGGGAGGGATTTACTCAGGCTGATGAGCTGCAAGGACTGGCTGCGCCCACTAACTACTGGTTTCTGACTCCCTTGAAGGATCAGCTGTGTAGGAGCCCAATACACAGAGTAAAAGTTACTTCAGCAGGGCTTTGGTATCCACTGAGTCTGCTCATTGAGTGGGTCACTTATGGAGGTGGTTGGGTGGTGGTGTTTTGATGTGGTCTGAAGCTGTCCACTGGGTGTCCTTGCTCTGGGGCAAGGTCAGCTACTGCCTGTGTTCTATCCAGGGCCACCCGGCATAAGCCACAAAGTGATCTGCAGACGGCTGCTTCTTGTGAGGGGCTTGGAGGTGCCCAGGAAAAGCCAAGTTGTGAACCAAGACTGGCTGCTTCTAATGCCAAGCCTGGGGCCACTTAATAAGAGGTATGGGGCTCGCTGAGACCAACTGCTGCTTGTTTGAGAGATTTTAGAAAAATCTGAAGCAGGATCCAAATCAGGTCAATACTATGGTAAGCCACTGGAAACAGCTTGGTAAGCCTGAAAGTTGGGTGGGGTGGGGCCTCAGGAAATCACCAGGGTGGAGCAAACAGTGTGAGCCAGGTTGCTGGAGTCCCAGATATGGTGGCTGTCTGCTCCGGGCGGGGAAGGACTCACCAAAGGAACATCAGCCTTTGCCAGCACGTCTGTCCAGGAGAAAGCTGCTCCTCCAGCTCTCGCCCCAATGCCGAACAATTCAGTTCTTCCCCATATATCTCTTTCAAGCTGCCTCCCCAACGCTGGAGCCCAGAAGGAGCGAGTTCAAGTAAGTTTGTGCGCGGACCCTTTAAGAGGAGCTGCCTGGGGCTCCAGCCGCCTCAGCCTCCCTGAGCCTCAGTTCCCGCTGGTTTTTCCAGCCAGAAGTGATGGGGACTCTCTTCCTGGCACTGGAACCCTGAGGTGGGTGCCTGGTGTGGGACGGGGACCCCTCAGTCCTCAGGGAGGACCTTTCCAGCCAAGGTGTCCTTCTGATTTTTATCCGCCACACGTGGGTGTGGGTCCAGCCCGTCCCCTCCGCCCCTCCTACCAGTCTGGATGTGGCTGCTGCTTTAATTCCGTAGTTGTAGGCCTTCCATTCAGCTGATTTCAGGCGGTTGTAAATGATGGTTGCTCTGTAGTTTAGTTGTAACTTTGATGTGGTTGTGGGAGGAGGCGGTATCATTTACCTACCCACCATCTTGACCGGAAGTCCTCAATCTACTTTTTTTCACCTGACCTGACAGTGTTTCCTTCTTCTTCTTTTTGTCTTTTTTCTGTCTTTCGTTTACTCAGAATGTATTTACACTTACTTTTGGCCAGCGCTGTTGCCCCAGGGAACCATCGAGGTCAACAAGGTTTCTACTCTCCTGGGAGACTGGGAGGAGACAATAAACAAGCAAGCAAATAAGGATGACTTCATCTAATTTGTCCACTAAACTTAATCTGTTAGTTGAAGGTGATAAATACTTTCCCTATGTCTTGGGAACTTGTGACACTCAGATAAGATTTGTATATCAGTGCTTTGTTAATATAAATGCACGATGTTAAGGTATCAAATGATTTGGTCAAGATCACATAGCAGTCTGCAACAAATGTTTAGCACTTAATTATGTAATTGTCTTAAAACAATTTTTTTTTTATCAGCTAGTCTGGGAGGGCAATATGTACAGAGCTACTACCTCATTTCATCTTTGAACTGGACAATCAGGAAAGCTTTCTTAGTGGCCTCTCTGATTCTGTGTCTTAGATTTTAGGGCCCATAGAATCATTGTTATATTAGAGATGTTACATATGTAGGTTTCCGGGCCTGGAGCTCAGACATTTAGATTCAACAGTTAAAAGGTTGGCCCCACAAATATTTATTTAACATTCTTGTCCCTGAAAATGTTCATACAGTTTTTCTGAGAGAAATAATGCTCTGATCTTACTCTCAAATTCATCCTCTTTGCTGACCCCAGATTTACCATTCTAAAACAT